TGAGGCGTCGCGTATTTGGTAATGATTCGATGGAGAATTCGTTGTCTCATCGAATTCAGATTAGTCGGCTTCGCTGGTTAGGACACGTATTGCGCATGTCCATCCATCGTGTGCCTCACCGCGCCTTATTTGCAGTTGCGGCTCCAGGTTGGAAGAAACCGCATGAAGATCAACAGATGATGTGAAAGCGAGATATGAAGAAATGCACAGAGCAGTTAGGTAGAATCGGTGTCTCCCATCTTCCAGGTTGGGGTCCGAAAGACTTTGCAACTGGCTGGCTGGAGACATTGAAGGATATGGCGACTAAAGGACAGCAGTGTTTTTCTTGCTATCGTTTCTTATCAGTTCAGAATGCTTGAAACGGTATGTATGCAGAGTTCGATTGCGTACTCTGTGAGTTGATCATAGAGGTTATTTCTCTTTGCCTCCCTCCAAGTAGGCCCAATCCCTCTCTGTCTTGTGCTTTATCACTCGATTTGTGTAAATTGTGAGCTTGGCAGCGATCAGTCAAGTTCGCTCCACTGTATCTCGCTGTACGATGATGCTGATATAATCAGTACTCCGCAAACCAATGTAATTTGAGTAAAATTGCCGACATCGAGCTTTAGATTCACTTTTAGGACGATTCGCAACAGTTTTGGATAGGTCTACGTTTTCATGTGAGTTTTCCCCGGTAATCGGGGAGGTTTTTTAGGCTCGAATTATTTTTAGCGAGTTTTTCGTAGCTTTGCGTTCTATTGATATTTGTCGTTATCTTTTCTGCCTGATGATTTGCTACCGTACACCACATTTTATTCACGTCCACATTCATTATTTCTGTCTCCTTTCAGGTCGTCACATGGATCGGTGGATTCTGACATTTACTCGTTTGATTCTACTTTTTTGATTCGATCTAAACAGTTTCACATCCATGGATAATTTAATTGCCGACGTTTCGGATGTGGAATTCATTATCGAGACTCAACTGGAGAAGCAAATTGGTTTGGGATGTCTTCCATTTCCGAATATGAACAGTAGGTCGTTGACTGTGAAATCCATGGTGTTTATGTTTCAGTTGAACCTAGTTAATCCCACTAGCTCTGTCCTGACTAAAAGGGTGATATTACGTGACGTGATGCTCTTAAAAGCGTTCTAGTTTGGATATTTTCACGCTTTCTATCGTTTGAGGGGTTTTATTTATATTCGGTCACGTCACACCATGTATCTTGGCATTCTTTTACGATATACGGACCGGTTACCAACCTTTGAATCACTTAGTGTTTGACGTATCAATATACGGTATGTGCTTGGTACTATCCAACCTCAGAGTTCAAGTACAGAAATAGCGTTTGCTTGCGCACACTCATTTGTCAGTAGCCAGAGACAGTTGATTGTTTTGAGTTTTTGGGAAGCTTCATAATAACAAGGGATGATGCTGGGAAGACGATTGCATTACGAGTAGCAAAAGCTAGTGTGGCTTTCGGCACGCTGTGACACCTGTTGTTACCTCCTTTTGCGGTGTACCTAAACAGGTTCTGTGGACGCTTTATGAAATCGGGGTTTTAAACACTCACCGAAAAATGCTCGATTGACTGTTTTACACTGTTGTGCCCCCCGAACGAAACTGACGTAATGTTTGAAGCAAATTGACTAGCGAGTTATTCGAAACGTTGCTCACATTTGGTGGGAACATTAGGTGAGCAATGACGAACCTCGTGATTGTTTTTTGGGTGAAGGCACTTGTTCGCTGGATGAGATCGCTGTACACTGTTTAAACTGAACGCCGGCCCCCAATAGATTGCGGCTTTCACACACTACCCCACTGACTGACGGGTTAGACTTTGGCTTGCCGAAGTCTAAGAAAATGCACCTCCTTTGACCTGGGCAACCTAGCAGTATCATGCCCTCAAGCAAATCTCTATTTTAATTTTTTGGCACAATCAGACATGTGTGAAAAAATGTAATAGACTATATACATTGCTTGCAATAACTCGTGTTTTGCGCATGCCTGCCTTTCTGTTCTCTTTTAATACGTACTGGGTTGTGCTCTAAGAAGTGGCTAAACTCTCGGATATAAAGAAGTTGTATTCGTCATTAACTTCGGTTGGTGCAGCCCTCCTTCATAATTGGAACCTAAGGGGTCAGAAATGCCGGCCGTTAAAAACTCTGTCAAACAAAGCTCAGGATACAACTGACTTGCGTGAACGCTGTGCAGCTCGTCTGGTTAGAACTCGTGGTTCCCTATAGAACTAACAAACATAAAGTAGTGAAAATCATCAAGGAACGTTTGGTGAAAATGCATCAAACGTTATTGTTCTTTTTTGTGTCAGTTCTCTTTTTTTCTCCTCGTGTGTAGCCAACTCGCCTATTTGTAGTTCCGCAAATCTTATGCCCACGTCGAGCGGTGACAAGTGTATATGCACATTGTGATGATACCGTCACGGGTTCTGATGATGTATACATATAGTTTAATGTTCATCCTCGATTCTCAATTACCTCGTTAGTTTTGTTTGTTCCCGAGTTGTTTACATTTGCGGAAGCAGGTGATTCCAGTTTATAATTTGGTTTCCACCAAAGTCTTCCTCTTCCCAGTGGTCTTCGCAACCAGTAACCCTTTTCTGCTGTGAGCAGACTGTTTTCAACGGGAAGATTGGAAAGCATGCGATCCTTCGGTTGTTTCTGCCCCATTCCGTAGGATGAAATGAAAACACTAGTTGCCGCCTGTAACATGAAATATATAACCAAGGTCGATCGATATAGGACTAATGAATCTGTAAGGATAAGAGTGGTGCTTTAACCGGTTTGCGGGTTTTTTTATTACACACCTTAGTGTGATGAATAGAAGACGGGGTAAACCCCATAGTACCAAAGACCTGCTGTTCATTGATTGCAAGCGGCAACCTAAGCCCTGGAACTTGGAGTGGCGAACCACATAGGGCCCCATATCTTTGGGCGTAGTGTTGAACCGGATGGCAGCAAAACTGCCTACCACCAAAGTTGAATGACAGTGGCGGGGCTTGAACACCGAACCGTAGAGTCCAAAACACGCCGGTAACAGCGATTAAACCACTGCATCGTCTTCTCCCGGTTGATTGCTTCCACTTTTTCTTCCGCTTCCTTAATCAGAATCCGGCGCAGGGGTGTGCAGATACTTCATTCTCAATCAATGTCCCTTGAACAATCAGTGTCCGCTGCGTCATATCAAAGCCGACCGAACAGTCGTGTGCAAACATTGGCTACGCGGTCTGTGCAAAAAAGGAGATGATTGTGAATTTTTGCACGAGTACGATATGACCAAAATGCCCGAGTGTTATTTCTTTTCCAAATTCGGTAAGTCCATCCGTTGTGACGTAACACGCCCGTTCTGATTATAGGTGAATGCATGAACAAAGAGTGCCCATTTTTGCACATTGACCCGGCAACCAAAGTGCAAGATTGTCCTTGGTACGATCGTGGTTTTTGTCGAAATGGTAAGGCAAAGTGGCGTACTCGCACGATAAATCCCGGGCATTGTAGGTCCCTTATGTCGAA